CTAGATGGGCTTGATCCATGAGATCATGCATGACCTGAACCAAAATCAAGAGTTGGACGCTTAACCAACTAAGCCACCCGGTGCCCTGACAATTATATTTTAATCTTTTAAGAAACCACATAATTCAAAAAGTAACTCAGACTTCAGTAATGCTTTTTATATGAATTTTCATGTATCCCCAGAGTATCTCCATACATACGAAGCCTAGAACATCACATCACATGTATTAAGACATGCATTGTCCCTAGGTGAAGGGACTCTTTCCATAATGTTGAGATTCTTCAAAGTGTTCTTGGCTTTCAAGATGGGATGACAGCCATGTGGAATGCTTTATGAATAAGCTTGGGGGAGGTTATCATGTGATAGGATTTCAACATAAAAAAGATCATTGTCATAAATGAGTGATGTCACCATGCAACATCAAACCACTCTGCCACATTCTTCTTCCCACAAAGGTGGTGTTTGATTCAGGGACAGCAAAAACTCAAAACTCAGGTTCTAGAGCTCACTGAGGAAACAACCATCTGAATTCGTGGGTTCTGAATTTAGAATCTTCAAATTCCATAAATATAATCTGTATTTATAGATTCTAGAAATACTATAATACAATCTTCAAGTCCTATAAATATAACCTGTATCAATTTAATATAAAATAACTTAATTTTACATATTAAAATTCTATAAAAATCATCTTAAAATTATTGTTCTCAAGTATCTATTCTATTTGAATTTCTGGCAAACTTTGTATTTTTAGGAAGAAATGTTAAAGAACATCAAGATTAATTAGTATCATTAGCACATAAGTATCCCAAGATCCTTATAAATTGCTTGTAAGTGGGTCAAAGGTACTTCATGACAATGATATTTACAACACTTTCTTCTCAGTGAGTGAAAAAGTCATCTCCTGCATTATCCCATCTCCCCAGTGAATGCACTTTGGATTAATGAGTTTTTATTATATTGAAAAGAACACCAGAAACATATAAAGAATAATTGGTTACAGACTATCTGTTCCATGGGGAGCTGTAGTAAGGGTGAGTGAATAAAAAAGGAAGAAAAACATAAAAAGAGTAAATATCACAAAGAATGGCCATTGGCTAGTTTCCAGGTGGGGCTTTGATGGAAAACCTCATTACAAAGGTACCGAGTGTAGCATGAAGATAGGACAAATTTTGCTGACATCCCGGTAGGCTCAGCAAAGAGGAAGCGAGAGACTGCCTTACTTGTCTTTAAGGTTTCACTTGAGAGTAGGGTTAATTCTGGGGCAGAAGAGTCAGCTGACAGGGAAGGCAGGTTATTGAAGGGATTTTGTAGACATGATGAGAAATGGAAGAGATGGAGGTTTGGTTAGTGTTGGGGACGTCAGGAATGACAAAGAGGAGCCTTGAACATCATTCTGAATCCTCGCTAGACAGTGTTGGTCGATAACACCACTCTGTCCTGAGGAGTCTGAACAGCCATTCCCGATTCTGCCTTTCCTAGTGCAGCATTTCAAGCAATGATAGCAAATGAATCAGAACTGAAATGCTAGTGGAAGTCATTGTTTAGAAAAGGGGAGAAAGTCCCCCCAAGCTGGAGCTGTCATCACACAGGAAGGTTTGTGATACGGTCAAATGGATCATCAAGCAGGAAAAGAAGAGAAGCTAGAAGGAGGCTCTAGCAGAACTGGTGTGACCAAGAAGTCATAAATAGACTCCACATAAAGAGGAGCACTGTGTACCAAGTATGAGCTGGGCGTGGAACTGGCCCCAGGGCTCACATCCTGCATCCCTCCCGCCGAAGCACACGACAAAGTAGGCACGGGAGACGTGGGTGCAACCAGCAGGATGGTCTCTGCCAGGGATGCTGTGCCAGCCCAGAGAAGAAATAAGAACTGTGAAGGTAGGGGCACCCGGGTGGCTCAGTCGGTGAAGCGTCTGACTCTTGATTTAGGCTCAGGTCATGGTCTCACAGTTCATGGGACTGAGCCCCACCTCAGGCTCTGCGCTGACAGTGCGAAGCCTGCTTGGGATTTCCTCTCTCTCCCTCTCTCTCTCTCTGACCCTCCCCTGCGAGTGCTCTCTGTCAACATAAAAAAAAAAAACTTAAAAAAAAAATCTGTAAAAGGGGCGTCTGGGTGGCTCAGTCGGTTGAGCAGACCTCTGACTTGGGCTTAGGTCACGATCTCACATTTGTGGGTTCGAGCCCCACGTTGGGCTCAGAACCTGGAACCTGCTTTGGATTCTGTGTCTCGCCCTCTCTCTGCCCCTCCCCTGCTCGTGCTCTGTCTCTGTGTCTCAAAAAATAAGGTAAAACATTTTTAAAAATCTGCAAAAAAAAGAACCTGTGAAGGCAGAGGGGAATCAGAAATGCAGGAAAGCATTATCTGTGCAGATAGAGTGGTCATTTCTGAGAAGGTCCACTAGACTCAAGTAGAACACTTACCCATCTGTTGCACAGCCTTCAAGACCTGGCCCAGAACAGCTGTGGGTATTGAGGGAGAAATACACATTTTGATCATAAGTCAACGTGCTTTAAATTACTCTCAAATCATTAAAATCACCATGAATCTCAATTTGGGGGGGCAGCAGTTAATTATTTATTTATTTTGCATTTATTCATTCGTTCATTCACTCCGCATGTATTTTTGAATGTTGCACTCTGTGACACGGATTGTTCTAGCATTTAGCAGAGTGGACATTTTCTGGCCTCTGTTACTGAAATGCGTTCATGCGTACTTTATGATATAGGTATAGCTGTCTCATATCTGGCTCTAGGATGTCAGTACAGGCAGGGGAGGAGAGGCGGCCAAGACTAGAGCCATACTGATTAAGGGGTAGGAGGAGAGGAACCGATGTGTGAGGATGAGTCTCAGGGGCAGGGCAACGGCAGTGATGACTTCAGACCCTGGAATCCAGGGGCAGTACGGGAGCTGGTTTCCTCTCCTCCCACAGGACTGAAACGTCTTACATACAGCAGAGACGGCATTGGTCTTAAATGACTCTTGAGAAGCTGGGTCCCCGTTCTAGTGAGGGAGGCCACCATCCCTTATTTTGATTACAGAATGATATAAAAAGGCAGAATACATTGGCTTTGAAGTATGGCAACACTTGCCAAGACAAACATCAGTAGGAAAACAGAATATTCCAATTAAATGCAAAAGACAACTCATGCTGTTGCACATGGATGGACCTAGAGAGAATTATGCTAACTGAAACAAGTCAGACGGAAGAAGACAAATCCCGTAAGATTTCATCTATATAATGGAGCCTAAAAAAAATAAAACAAACGAACAAACAAACAACAGCAACAGACTCATAAATACAGAGAACAAACCGGTGGTTGCCACAGAGAAACAGGGGGGATGACTAAAATGGGTGAAGGGGTTAAGGGGTATGAGCTTCTAGTTATAAAATAAATAAGACATGGGGATGAGAAGTGCAGAACAGAAAATACAGTCCATAATGTAATAATTTTGTCTGGGGACAGATGGTGACTATACATATTGTGAGGAGCACTGCATAATGTATAGAATTGTCAAATTGTTATGTTGTACACCTGAAACGAATAGAACATTGTGTGTAAGCTCTATATCAATTTAAAAAAGGAGATGGGGGACACTACCATTTCATGGCCTGGGGAAGGATGAAGGACTACATTTCAAGTATGTGACCAGGCCAGAGGTGCCTGTCAAACACCCCATTTCCTACCTCAGTCAAGGGCTGGGATTTGTACACTCCTCCCGGAGGGTAGGGTCTGTTCCCTCCCCCATTTTCAAGCAGTCCTGCTCCTTTCTCCCCAGTGCCTTTGGGCCTTCCTTCCTACATCTCTCTCTCACACACACACACACACACACACACACACACACACACACACACAGGCTTTTTCAGGAAGTGGATGCATGGGAGTCCTCCCTATTTCACACTCTATTATCTCCTAGGGAAACCAAAACTCAAAGACAAAAGGCATCGCTAATGAGTGACCACTGATAAACTCCCCGCTCACTAGCTTTTTCTCCCCCACAATGCCCCGCAGTCTCCAAGAGGGAATACTACACAAAGTGAGTGCAAATTGAAATTGTCCATTTTGGGACCACATGCGGGGTTTTTTTGTTGTTTTTTTGGTTTTTGTTTTTTTGGTTTTTTTTGGCAGCCTCTGAAGGTGCTGCGGGGGAAACAGCAGGGGTTACTAGGGAGAAGCTACTGATGCAGAAGTAGCTCAGGGGGGAAGAAAAGCCAGTTTACATCTGAAGAGGTGACTTGACAAGGACAGTGACAGGACAGGCGCTAGAAGAGTCTTGATTTGAGTACCCAGCTCGAGCTCCTTGGGAAAGCTGATAACACCTTTGCATAATTTTGCAGAAACAATTGTTGAATATGAAGTACAAGAGCCCATATCACGCTATCATTTAATGTCGTCAGAAAACTGATTCTCTGTCCTCTACTTGACTTCTTCTTTTTTGGTTGCGTACAATGAAAACAGGAAACATTCTGCCCGGCGTCGTCTGCACCACAGTCAGGCTGTCACTCACCCGTAGGTACAGTTTGAATGGCACAGGTGACACATGCGATTGGCGTCTGCAAACTTCCAGACCAGGGTGTTGTTTTCTCCCATGATGCCAGCTGGGCAGGTCTTGACGCAGTGAGGGCCGTCAATGTAGTGTGCACACTGCACGCAGCTGTCTGGTCCCTACACCAAGACGGACAGAGACACGTATATAGGCTTCCTTCTCTTTCGAAACTGAAGTAACTTTTTACTTATAATACTTTGTGTGAAAAAGAAGTCAAACAACAGACGTTCTTAAAGCAGAAACACAACAAGCTTGTGACTGTGAACCACCGTTCACAGCCTACTGAGAAGTCTTCGAATGCATTGACGATATAACAACGGAAAAGAAACTATACTGTACGCTTCGTGACAGTTTACTTAACAGACTGTGGGCAAGTTTCTTTGTCAAAACAATCTTGATGAGTCTACGTGTACGTTTACATCTCTATCGCTCAGATGGCATTGTTTACATATCATATCTGAACTTAAAGAGCAGCTATGTGGGAAGCCAGACTTGCTGAGGTGAACTGAAGAAAGCCCACATCTATGTTTCTCCAGGGACAAGAAGGCAGTAAGTGGAAGTAAGCGGTGGGGGAATAATTAACTGTATACCGTGTTTATTTGATTCCGTTTGCTAAACTCCGAAAAACTCACAGAAGTGAAACTTGACTGTTTGGGTTGTGCCCTACATCAAGGGAGTGAAATAAAGCTGGTAGGGAAGGATGTGCTCACTGGTGAAGTTCTCTGATGTCTCTGTTTTGTCCAAAGACTGAGCGTTCCCAGAACCAGAACGGTCAGATGACTAAGTCAGAATCACCAACAGACTTATTTCAATGATGAAAATTTAACCTAACACCATGTAAACTTATAAACCAATGGTTTACTTTGTAAACTGCCCTGTTAGCAGCTTACACCTCAAAACACAGCCTTCAGCCCGATTTAGAGACAGCTTTTGAAAAATGTGTTCAATTAGAAGGTTTAGATATGGCTGTTGAAGCTCAAATACAAACAGAACTCCTTATAAATAATATTGAGAATGAACAACATTGGGACATTGATGTGAGGAGGACCTGAATTCTCACGTATACTCTTTATGTAAATAGAAACCTGAATTTTGAAAAGTTTTGCTAGGTGTTTGTTTAAAAAAATTTTTTTAACGTTCATTCATTCTTGAGAGACACAGAGACAGAGCATGAGTGGGGGAGGGGCAGAGAGAGAGAGAGGGAGACACAGAATCCGAAGCAGGCTCCAGGCTCTGAGACATCAGCACAGAGCCCAGTGCGGGACTCGAACCCACGAACCGTGAGATCATGACGTGAGCCCAAAGTCAGAGACTTAACCGACTGAGCCACCCAAGTGCTCCGCTAGGTGTTTCTTTAAGAACTCTTCAAATAATTATGAACGAATGTTAAATGAGAATCTGATGATGTTTGATTAAGATGACGAAGCAATGATGACAGATGTCAGAAACAGTGAACACTGGCTGTCGATGTCCCCAGCCTCCCATAGGCATCCCTGGTTTTTGGTAAAAGAGTAGATGTTATTAGATTTGTTGGAGGGTGTTGGACAGAAAGGGTGAATGCTCCTACAAGGTGGGTTGCGTGATGACGTCAACTCAACCACAGCCTCTGTGACCCAGCTGGGAGGTCACAAGGCCCCCTGTATGGGCATGGCTGCCTCTTTGGTAGCCGCAGAGTGATGCTGGCTCATTGCTATGGTTCTGCTGCTTGGGAAGGCTTTTCCCTTGGACGTATGAGTGAATAACATCAAACGTGCTCCTTACTCGTCCTGTGCAGGTGATATTCATGGCCTGGGGCAGGCATTCTGGATGGCACTGTATGCACTCAGAATTCTCCACAAACTCCCTTGGCTCCCTGAGAGAAGAAAGAAAACCAATCAGTGCTATTTCTAGAGATGCTGATTCAAAATGCCGGCAGGTTACCACTGTCTGAGTTGCAATTGTCTGAAATTTCAGGTGACACAGAACACCTTTCTCAGAAATGCGAGAAAAATTTAGGTAAACATTTAACGGTAGGGAATCTAGGATTATATTGCAATATGATAAACCGATTGTATTAACTGAATCCATGGTCATCTCCTCTCCGAATAAATGCACAAGCTTCATTTATAATCAAAATATCTTCCCTACATTTTTCTATAAGGCACAGTTTTTGTCTATTAGGCAAACAGGTCAACAAATGAAAAAAGTAACAGTCCGGAAGAGGTGACCACCTCCCCCACCCCCCACAATATCAGATTCATGGATATTTAAATTAAGCTAGAAGGAAATGGTAACTGTAGATTGACTCACAGGAAAGGGAAGGAGAGCTATTAAAACGTACTCAATGATTATTAATAAAAATAGGAAGCATGGAACACAGGTGTGAACACTTTTGCTTGAACTAGTTTCCCTGTTCCTCAAAGACGTATGGGTCAACATTAAGCAAGAAGATGATGTTTGATTGAAAAGACAAAACAGTTGTGACAGCTATTAAGACTGAATGCCGCCTGGTAATTAACTGCAGGCTTTCACGCCAGTGAACAAGGAAACACAAGGAATGTTTACACCCCGCAACATGTTCCCTAAGTCTTCCCTTATGTCATCAATTAAACCAAATGTGCCCAGTTTTTCCTTCCCTCCTTCTCTGGGTCATGATGCCGGCCAGAGGAGCCCATCTTGCAAACCGAGCAAGTGCTGCCGAAAGGCATGGACACCAACAACATGGTGGTTTTAATTCCCTCTCCCTTTAAAAAGATGTAGAAAACACGACATTCACGTCTACTCATAGCAGTAAGGATTGCATTAATATTGTTGAATTACACAGAGGACTCTGTTAGGTTACTCGGCGTCTCTGCTAAAGGATTCCTACAGAATTAGACTTGGTCCTCTCATTCTGATCCTGAATATTTCTTTTTTTTTTTTTTTTAATGTGTCTTTATTTTGAGAGAGAGAGAGAGAGAGAGAGAGAGCAAGCACTAGTTGGGGAGGGGCACAGAGAGAGGGGGGCAGAGGATCTGAAGTGGGTCCTACGCTCACAGCAGTGAGCCCGACACAGGGCTCGAACTCACAAACCGTGAGATCATGACCAGAGCCGAAGACAGACGCTTAACCGACTGGGCACCCAGGAGCCCCCTGAATATTTCTGAATCCGCGCTGTGGCCCAAGCCCTGATAGCAAAATAAGAAGAAAGATTTCCCGTAGCCATTTGTAATTCCTATGGCTCTCCTCTCTCACAAAATGTCCCCTTTCCTTTAAATTAAAAAGGAAAAAGCCTCTGCTTCTCTCTATCCTTATATTTTACTTTCCTATTAATTTATTTTTAGTCATTACTTGTGGTCATTTGTGGTCAGAGCTTTACATCAATATCAAGATTCCCACAGAATCAAGCAACTGTACTTTTAACCGATAGCAAAAAAAATCCAACAAAGTTTATATGATTATTTCTTTGTCCATGGTTATGTTTCAAGTTATTTGCACTGTTCGATATTGCTTGAACATAAAACAAAAATTAACCAGGAAATATAATTTGTATTACTATATTCTGACACACCAGGAAAAATGTACTGCAAAGAAAAGTCTAAGTGACTGCGGTCTTGGCCACATGAACCATTTATGGCTTTTCCATTTCTCTTGGGAACTTTGTGTGGCTTCGAAAGAGATTAGATATTTCCAAAACCGAGACTCTATAAATTAGTGGATTGGATTAAGTAATGCAAAGAGTTTGTTCATTTCCTTTGGTGATTAACAGTTGTCAACAAATAAGCAAAAACAAAGGAAAAAGAAAAAAAGGAAAAGTATCAAAGTGAACAACAGTAAACTTATAAAAACAATCGCTTTAGTTTTTATCAGAACAAAGGGGTTAAAAAATAACCTTACCCCTCCAGAACATTGCACTTCTCCACACATTCCTTGCCACGGGTGACGTTTTGGCAGGACACGCAGTCTTTCGGCTCTGGGCCCCAGCATCCCTCTGATGAGCATAACGGATGACAGACATGGCCTATGGCCTCTGAGAAGACACAGGGAGCCACAAGGAGTCAGCTAGGGGACAGCGACTAGAGGGGCCAGTTGAGACAACACCTGTAAATGAGGCGCTGGGTTCTCTGTGACCCTGAGCTGCACAGACATGCTGGGGGTCCCTGGAAGAAGCAGTGACACAAAATGGGCTTCTAGAGGCCAACTTCAAGTTCCCTTTTCCAGACTGGGAGTCAAGGGCTCCTGGTCCGGACCTGGGTAGCACTTTGCTGATGAGTGTCATAGCTGATGGAGACACAAGGGAAGGTTTGTGGTTCCTTGCCGTGTGCTGGGCACCATGTCAAGAGTTTTATATACAGAATTTCACTTCACTCTCTCACTAGCAGCGGGAATCACTGCGGTCTCCATTTCATGGATGAGGAAGCCAAAGCCTAAAGGTATTAAGTACATTGACCAAGATCTGTAAGCTAGGAAGGGCTAGAGGCAGAATTTGAACTCAGATCTGCTTCTCCCAGTGACCAGGGTCTCGGTAAAAAGAAATGTGCATGGCCTGGCTTCAAGAGAAGCCTGTGGCTCTAAACTCAGATGAGGAAATGTCACTGTAAAATGCTCATTCTATCTGCATGCGTGTGTGTATGCCTCTATGTGTTGCCAGTTAGACTCATTAGAGGCTAAAATGAGCAGGGAGAACGGCTGAAAGGTAAAATAATTAATGCTGAACTTAGTTCTGTACGTTACAAATAATTGACAGCTTAAACCTCCAGGCAAATTCATCCTACAAAATGTGAATGATCTGGAAACAATTCCGGTGAACTTCCCATGATAACTTCACATGTAGGGCTGTACAGATTTCTTTTAATCTGCTTCTTTAGGAATGAAAAATATAATTTAAATGTTTGGGAATCTTCTAAATCAACATACATGACCCACGTGAACCATTTCCATGATCAACCAAAGTGATTACTTACTGCAGCCTTTTTCATCTTTGTTGTTTATAATTTTGGTTTTCTGACTTGAAGTCCCAAACAGTTTTTTCCAGTTTATTGTATTTGCATAGCACAATTTTTGGTTTCCTGAAACGATCACATCTCCATCACTTATCTCCTTGAGGGAGCGTAATCCCAAGGACGTTATGTCCAGGCCGACAACCGCAAGAGAAAACTGACCACTACAGTGGAGGGAAGAAAAATAACATTGTGAAAAATGACCAAAAAATTCTATCACTAAAAGCTTTATTTTAATTTTCTTCTGGACCACCTTATATGTACTACAATCCCCCTCCCGGTGACTGTAAGTCATATTGCAGGAAGTCTGTATTGCAACTTTTGAAAATGACAACAGATTTTTTTAGCTCCTCCAGGGAAAAGCTAGTTCCTTGTCCATTTACTATCTTTAACCCCAGTGGAATACTGAAGGTGAATAAATATTAATGTCATTATTATATTTACTGCATGTTTTTTTTTTTTTTGCCTGGGAATTGAACAGCATCTTCTTCTTTTTTAATGTTTATTTATTTATTTTGAGACACAGAGCAAGAGCATAACAGAGATGGGGGAGGGGGAAGGAATGCATGGGAAGGGGCAGAGAGAGAGGGAGAGAATCCCAAGCAGGCTCCACACTGTCAGCACAGAGCCCGATGCAGGGCTTGAACTCACAAATCTGAAGATCATGACCTGAGCCTATTGAGAGTTGGACACTTAACTGACAGAGCCATCCAGGTGCCCTGAGAGCATGTTCTAATCCCTCAAATATCCAAATACACTTCAAAAATCATAGGTTCATTTTTTCCATCCACCCACCTACCCATTAATCTATCTTTCCATCCACTCACCCATCTATTGATCCATTTGTCCATCTACTTATCTAGGCAGGCATGCTTCCATCCATCCATTTTTCCATCTATCTATCTATCTATCTATCTATCTATCTATCTATCTATCTATCTATCTATCCATCCATCCATCCATCCATCCATCCATCCATCCACCCTTCCATCCTCTCATCTATGCATCCATCTACCCACTCATCTATCCATTCATCCATGGATTCATTCAACCATCCATCCACTCAGCTATCTATCCATCCATCCATTGATCCACTGACCCATCAATCCATCCATTAACCCATCCATCCATATATTGAACAAACATCTGAACCATCCAACTCTGTCTGTGCTAGAACTCTATAAGACTATCCATATGTTTTCATCAAGAGACTAGATAAAAGTAATTCAGACTAAAAGGAGGGAAATCCTGAACCACCAGGAGGAAAAGGAAGGCAAGAAAGCATCTGATGGGGTGCTGAGAACCAGGAGCTCCTGCTGGAGCAGAAACCTGGAGGTGAGGAGGCTTGGGCAAGGGATCTAGGGAGGGTGACAGAAGACCTTGCACACCTTGAGCTTGGTTGTTGTGTGCAAATGATGCGGAACTACAGGAAAGAGACTTGCATTTTTAGGAAGCTCATTGGACACCAGGACAGGGAACAGACCAGCTGAGGCAGCACTCAATGAGGAGTCATCAGACAGGAGATGACAAAAGTTGAATTTGGAGACCCCTCCTCTCCTTGTTTCTCTTTCTCTCCTGACCCTTTTCTCCTCCCTTCCCACAACCCGGCTCCTGTGGAAAGCAAGGAGCCCTGTGTTGAAGACCTGTAACTCTACTGTTTAGGAATTCTCTCTCAACATGTGCCCACAGAAGCCTAGGCACTGGGACAAAGCCAGTGTCTTCTGTGCAGGCCAGACCTGGCTCTGATGAGCTGTACCTGGAGCCAGCGATCACCTTGCCCCAGGAGGGACTGTGTATTTCTGGACTTCTCATAAATGTGAAAAGGAAAAAAAAAAAGTAATTCTAATTTTGTTTAAATTCCAAAACGTAAGCCAACTGGCACCTGCCAGTCACTTAAGAAAATGGATCTGAATCTCTTGTCTCTATGAAAGAAGTGGTTCAAAAGAAGTGGTCTTGAGAACTCAGAACAAAGGGGTCTTTCTGGGAAGCAATGGTTATTATCAGAGATGCACAGCCAAGAATGTTTTTATTTTTTTTTTATTTATTTTTTTTTTTCAACGTTTATTTACTTTTTGGGACAGAGAGAGACAGAGCATGAACGGGCGAGGGGCAGAGAGAGAGGGAGACACAGAATCGGAAACAGGCTCCAGGCTCTGAGCCATCAGCCCAGAGCCCAACGCGGGGCTCGAACTCACGGACCGTGAGATCGTGACCTGGTTGAAGTCGAACGCTTAACCGACTGCGCCACCCAGGCGCCCCAAGCCAAGAATGTTTTTAAAAAGCAGTATATATTTTATGTGTACTATACTCTAATTTTCTTTAATATAATTTTAAAATGTTCATTTATTTTGAGAGAGAGAAACAGAGAGTGCACATGAGCAGGGGAGGGGCAGAGAGAGAATCTGTCAGTGCAGAGCCTGACGCGGGGCTCGAACTCACAAACTGTGAGATCGTGGCCCTGAGCCGAAATCAAGAGTAGGACGCTTAACTGACTGAGCCACCCAGGCGCCCCATGATTTTCTTTAATGTTGAGTGATATTATGTAGTCGTTTTAAAGGACAATTAATGAGTAATAGTTCTCAGCATCAGACTGTTTCCAAGGCAGGTCTGACAAAGAAATTCTCAAACCATTATTACTCTGAACTATATTCAAGATGCTTCTACGTGAGTATGCCACTGTCGGAATTGGAAAAGTGGAACCGCTGAACCAGTCGTGTATTAAAAAGTCTGTCAGCCCCCTCTGACGCGGTGCGCTCATAAGGACATGTCATTTCAGGACTCCTCTTACCAAAACACATACAACCTCCATCGAATCATGAGAAAACATCAGCCCTTCCACAAAATGCTTGGCCAGTACTTTTTAAAAGTGTCAAGGCCATAAACAAGATGAAAAGACACAGGGACTGTTACAGACTGGAAGGGACTAAGGAGACACAGCCACCAAGTGCAGTGCGGGGTACTGGACTGCACACTGACACGCGGCATTCACGAGCAAACTGGTGACATCGGAGTGACGTGTGGTGGTGGAGGTCACAGCAATGTGCCGATGTCAATTTCTTCCTCTGCCTCTCGTGCCATGCTTCGGTGAGAAGCTGGCTGGAGGACTGATGGCAGCTCTCTGCAGGATCTTTGTAACAGCTGTAGAAGTCTAATTTCAAACTCTTCTGTAGGTCTTAACTTAAAAAAAAAATTTTGCTTTTTAATCTACCAGGCTTTGGCTCGGGTCAACTTACTGTTGCTTTGTTCTTCCACGTATGATTTCTAGGTTCTCGAAAGCATGGAGGTCAGTCCTGTTTTCAGGCCAGGCCTGAATCAGCAAAAACCCTACAAAGGCAGAAGGAAGGCTCAGACATGCACCGCTTATACGTTTCTTTTTTATGAGACATTTTAGGATTCTCGAGAGACTGTAACAGGACAAAGAAAGGTGAACATCTGATTGGATTCTTTTTCTAATCTTTACCTTACCCACGTGTTGATACAAGCCAAGGCACAATTATACAGCGGACATCCTGCCTCTGACGTAGAATCCCCCGTCCCTCCCTGCATCTCTCCCACCACCCAACACCCCCACAGGCTGTCCCGTGGTGCCGTAGCCCTGACAGCCTTGCTGGGGTCTGTATCTGATGACCCAGACTGGCTTCTTAATGACAAGTGCCATGTCTTAAGCTGTCACAGAATGAGATTCACAGATTTTCCTGACTTAATTCCAATATTCCAAACAATCTTGTTATTTAGGTCCAATTATTCCCTTTTTATGGATGAAGGCAGTGGAGCTCTGATGGCAGTCATGGACCAAAGGTTGGCCGGTGGCCGAGCAGGGACGTGAAGTCCAGTCTGTGAGGCTCGAGAGCCTGTGCTGTTCCTTCAGCACTTTGCCTTTCCTCTCCCTCTACCCATGAAAGTCACTGGGCCATCAGGATGGCTGGCCGGGGCCGAGAAGACAAGGACACAAAATTGGGAATGACTCGTCTTTGATTAAAGTGTTTACCCTTCATGTGCGGGGGAAAGCGCATTTGTGAAAATGATCAAAGAACCCATTAGTCATTAGTGGTAGACGTTGAGAAGAAATGTCTTTATGCCGAGAGAGAAGAGATTACATCCACAAGTTCTCTCTGTACAACACCCATTTTCCATTTATGTTGATGGATATGTTAGCAGCACACACCTGTAATTTCCTTTACAGTTTTTAGAATATCCAGTTCCTTTGGATCTAGAGGTGGAGTATGCGTGAAGGAGTCACTGAAACAAGCAACAGAATGATTACTGATTAACAATCTCGTCCAGTGAACAAAGTGGATTTTGTGTTTCTCCCTACCAGTGCCTTAATCTGTTACTTACCCTCTAAATGCTACTGGCAGGATATGAAGATCTCCACTGATCGAGGTGCAATTTTTGAAGTGTTTAATATTTGTAGCATTGATGGAAAGTGTGTCTTTAAATTCACCAATTCCTATTCCATTACAAACTATAAAGAGAAGGGAGATGTTTATTCCACTCACATATGTTGGATTAAGAGTAGCTAGGGATCTACAGGCAGAAGGAAGCGGGAAGGGAACTGTAGCCATGACACTATCACTGCCATGCCATCATTCATTCATTCAACAAACATTCACGGAGGCCGGCTGGGCACCATAACTGTGGCAGGGCTTGGAGTTAAGCGGTTGGAGAAGGTGATGCTGTCCTCGTTGATTGCCGTTGCTGCCCTCAACTTGGGTTCTCTTCCTCACGATCTCCCTCCTAGACTTAGTCTAATTGCTCTTAACTACTCTTGCTTCCTCTGGTTTGTGTCCTTGGCAGTGCAATCCAAGGCTGCCGCCAGCACCGCCTCTGTCCGGCTCTCGTCAGGGCATTCCCCTAAAACTCAACACCTTTCCATTGTTCTAACCTGGTTACGTCTTTGTCATCCGTCTTACAGAAACAATGGGCACAGATTTTTTTTTTAATTAGTAAGAGTAAGGTGCATTCCTCTGAGGATGTTGAGAAATAGAATAAAGGGACCAAAATGACCAGAAATTCCACTCTAGGATATTTTGAAAAGTGTTCCTTCCAGCTATCCTCCGTGGTGATGACACGCCAGATATGTATTTTTTTTCGCTTTTTCTGCCGTGAACATTCCTCATATCATATAAACTATTTGTTGAAGGTGATTGTTAATGGCTGTCTTATATTACATCATAGGGAATACTGTAATAACTTTTATCAGATTAACTGCTGTTCTTCCCCTGTGTTTACTTCAGCCAAATGCTTTGATCTGCGTCCTATTGCTACATCAGTCTCAGATGCCCTTTTCCACACCCTGAGCCCATTTATTAATTTATATCCACTCCTAAATTTCCATCTCAAATGCCATCTCTGCCCTAAAGCCCATATTTATCTGCTGTAATTCTCCCTCTAGAATTTGCAGATAAATTTTGGTACCTATCTTCCAGACCTATCTTGACTTTGAAGTACAGTCACTGAAAATCTCATTGCTCAGGATAAGGTCCTATCCTGTCCTCCCCCTGGACTTCTAGGGGGTACAGTCAAGCCCCGCTGTCCCACCGCCGGCCTCTGTGCTCTGCTCCATTGGGAGTCCCTTGTTGCAAAGAACCTTCCACTCTGGCAGCCATGACTGTCCTGCTGGGTCTCTGGGCTCACTCTGTGTGCCAGCCTCCTCTCTGGTCTGGGGGTGGAGGGGGCTCTTCTAAGGACTCCTGTGTCGACTGGCTCACTCAAACCTTCTTTAGGATTCATAGGGTCTGGCTGACAATGGAGAATGAGGTGGCCATATAAGGACTTGCCATTTAATTACAGGTCTGGCAGAGAATTCCATGTGTTTGAGAGAATATTCATTCTCTCTCTCTTTCTCTCTCTCTCTCTCTGCTTGTGTGTGATAGTGGGGGCAGGGTTACTTTAATTCCTAAATTCAGAGATAAATTATGTATTCACCCCTAGAGATTCCTGCACTGTCATCCTTACCCAGTGGTATTGCCCTATACCTGAAGGGCTCTGAATTTGGGATATGCAGAAAAATAGGTCAGAATCACTATGGGAGAATCAAACTGTTTACGTGTTCGAACACATAATGTGTTTGAACACAAAATGGACAAAACCAAACCCAAACCATCTCTGATTATGTCAGTCGTGCGAGGGCGCTGACAGTAACCCTCTCTTTCCTCAGCGGACTCTTCTCTCTTACTCCCTCTGTGCCAGGCGCCGCCCCGCATTCTTATTTTCCTCCTTCTATGTCTCCTCTGCCAGACAGTTTCCTGAAGCCAAAGGACACTCATCCATCAGGGCACTGACCCGCCTGCCCCCCAGGGGTTATAAGACCGGGAAGAGGTGGACCGGGCCGACGAGCTCATGGGTCTGGCCTAGGACCAAGCTTGCATGAACTTCAAATCTTGGCTGTTATTCTTAGCTGTTGAAACTTGGGCAAGTCATTTAGACTCCCTGGTACTCGGTGTCCTCATCTGTAGAATGGGATCATGATAACACAGAGGTGTTGGGAGGGTTCAAAGACATGGAGGCTAAGCTGGCCCCGTGGAGAATGCGTGTCAAATGTCTATGGGAGTAAAAAGGGGAGCAATCAGTTTCAACCGAAAAGACGGATAGCTTCACAGGGAAGGCGGCACCCGTGGATATCAAGGTAAGCAGCTGGGCACTGAGGTGCTGTTTATAACACCGAAATAGTGGAACAATCAAAATGAGCACATAAAGTGAGATGGGTTGAAAAAATTCTGGTGCAGCCACAGAGGGGAGCCTATGCGGCTGTACCGGAGAATGAAGAAGATTTACATGGACTCATCCGGAGTGATTTCTAGGATATATGAAGTTTTTTTTTTTTTT